CCCCTGTCCCGCCCCCGCCCCGCCCGCCCCGAGAGGTGGGGCCGCGCATGCGCACGTGGCTCCCCGCGCGCCGCCGGGGCTGACGCGGGTGGTGTAGGTCTGCGGGTCTTGGCGGGCTCTGACGCTGCACTCTTGGGAGGCCCTCGGCGCCTGCAAGATCTCTCTTCTGAGAGAGGCTGGGAGCTTGCCGTCCTTACATTGTGATGGGGCTCGTGGAGGTGAAAAAGGAGATCATGGCAAGGTCACGGTTCCCACGCTGAGCACGCCCTAACCTGAGTGACAGCCCGCGGAGGGCAGACCTGCAAGGTCTCGTCACACTGTCATTGTCGTTTACAGTGTTCACTCCCTCTGGAGTCCTGCCCTCCAAGCCCCTGGAGACTCTTGACAGATGTTTCTGTCTATACACCTCAGGCTGGCCTTGAACTCACTGTGTGACCCACGCTGGCCTCGAACTCAGCGATCCTCTTGCCTCAGCCTCCCAAGTGCTGGGATTACAGGTGTTGGCGGCCAATCCTAAACGCTCTCTAAAAGCTTTATCCTTCCCACCTCTGACCTTCGGTTGTATGGCTTCCTGTGGCTCCTGTTTTCTATGAAGACGTTAAGTCAGGTGTGCTGGTACACCTGTGTCATCCCAGCACTCTGGGAGTCCGGCAGCAGGCTCAAGGTCCAGTTCAGTTGGGCAGCTTAGTGAGACCTAGTCTCAAATACATACATACATACATACATACATACATACATGGCTGAGGATGTAGCTCAGCACAAAAGCTCTGGGTTCAATCCTGAGGATCAAAAAGGATGGGTGGGGGAACACTCTAGTGTGCCTTAACCTCAACTCTTGACATGCAAAGACCTTACTTACAAACAAGGTCACATACGGAGGTAGTGGCTGATATGTTGTCTCCAGATCTTCCCGGAAGACACAAGCAACCCAAAACAGCACGCTGAGCAAGGACCCTCCACCAACACCCAGCTCACAGCCCTTCACATCGCCCCAAAACACACCCCCTGCTCTAGCTCCTCCACGCAAATTACCAGCTGGGAACTGTGGGTGTCGCATTCCACAGGTGAATAATTCCCAGGGGACCACAAGAAAGCTGTCCTTTGTCACTGGATCCCCAGAGTGTGGGGGGTATGCAGGCCCCTCAGCAAGTCTCCACCGAATGACTGAGCTTTAAAGATCCTCCACCGATAGATAGCAAGACACTATTAAATAATAAAATAAATAAAATAAAGATCCTCCACCGTAAAGGTGCGTGGTTGTGGGTTCCTCAACCCCTGCAGCACTCTGAATGGGAAAATACAAATAAGCAACACAGAAAAGCTTCTTCTTCTTTTTTTTTTTTTTTTTAGACGGGGTCTCGCTATGTAATCTAAGCTGGCCTTGAACTCATCAAATACCCCAGGATGGCCTTGAATTTGCAGCAATCCTCCTGCCTCAGCCTCTGGAGTGCAGAAATCACAGTATGCCCCACTATGCCCAGCCTGCCCATAATTCTTAACTGAGGCCTGAACAGAAGGATGATCTAGCCAAGAATTAATTAATGACCTTCTGTGAATTAGGTTCCCGTCTCTTACTCTTAGACAAGAGCCCTCGTAATTAGGAAGCCTGAAGTCCCCAAGCTACAGGATGTGCTGGGGGCAATCAGACTCCTACACTATTTATTGTATTGGGGTGTCAGACCAGGAGTGCTTCCCAAAGGCTCACTGTGCGAGTGCAGAAAATATATTGGTTTTCATTCTTGTCTTGTCCTGTCTTTTGTTTTCTCATCCATATGTAAAAAGAATCGCACCCAGTACTGTTTCCACAATTAACCCTTAAAAGCCATCACAGCAATCGGGAGGCAGAGGCAGGAAGATCGCCAAGAGTTTAAGGGCAGTTTGGGCTACACAGTGAGCAGTTCCAAGCCACCCCGAGGGTAGGGAGATAGCTTGGCAGACTGATTGCCTGCCCAGTAAGCACAAGGACCCAGATTCGCTCTCTAGCACTGCCTGCTGTGCCAGCCCCAGAACGCCAGGCGCATGCCTGTCATCCCAGCGCTGGGGAGGCTAAAGCAAGAAGATCACTGTGAGCCCAGCTGCATAATGAGACCGTGTACCTAAGCAAGCTTAGGCAAGCGCAGGGCCGCAGTTCGATCCCTGGCATCACATGCTGCACCAGCCCCACCCCCAGGGCTGGCTCATAGGCCACAGAGTCCAGGCATAGGGGCACATGCCTGTAATCCCAGCGCTGGGGAGGCTGAAAACAGGAGGATGGCTGGGAGTGCAAGCTGCGTAGTGAGACCCTGTAACAACCAAACACATTAAATAATAATAATAATAATAATAATAATAATAATAATATAAATAAATAAGCAAAGCTATCCTGAACTACACAGAAAGACCTTGTCTTTTTTTAAAAAAAAAGGAACAACAAAAAAAATCCTTCTGAACTTTTTGGAGCCTGCCCACTAGCTCAGCTGATTAAGTGCCGGCTTAAGCAAAGCAGTCAGGCTCAGGATTT